GAATAGGGCTTTCAATCACAGTACATACTATTTGTTTCAAAATGTCATTATAAGAAGTGCTGTTTGTTGCAGCTGATCTATACAAAGACACACGGGATGTTCGGTTATGCATTAATATGAGTCTATTTTTTTTCAACTCTCTCAAGCAAACTATTTCTTGCATAGCAAATAAAAGCTGAACTTCAGACAGATAAAGACACAGATTACCACAGCTATGTATTCAATAATTGTTAAATCTTTTTTTTTTTTATGCAACAGGTAGGCACCACCCCGTGAAAACAGCAGTCAATTTGCCAATACAGAAATGGGATATAAAATCAGTGTGCCTGTATGGTTTCCAAATAGAGCATGCTTGCAGGATGCAAGAACCACGAGGAAAGCTGAAAAAATGATCTTCTGTTACCCCAGAATAAATTATCTTCATTAGTGTCTCCAGATATGAAATGCTCTGCGAACGTCTGAGTTTTAGATTCGCAGACCATTATGGCCACTAGATGGAGGTGAGGAGCATAGCAATTTTGCATGCTCCTCATCTCCATCTAGTGGCCATAATGCACTTTGAATCTAAAACGCCAACATTTGCAGAGATATGCAAACGTTTTATAAATACACCCCAAATTGTTATAGAGCACAGTTTCACCATGTTATGAAAATATGAACATTTTAAAGTAAATCTGTTCATTATAAGCTTTTACTAGAGCACTCAGCTGACAGGTTCACTATAAGAATTATTTGATTGAAATTACAGCTTTTATCCATTTGTGTGTCCTGCTCATTTCACATTTGGACATGAACATCAGCAGGTGCCCTTGAGGATTATGTATATATATATAGCTGGCCATACACCTTACAATTATCTGCAGATTTTCTGTGGTCAGATGGAAAAGGTGCAACAGATTCCTTTATCTACGCTCAACTGTGTGGATGGAGTAATCTCCTCCTGGGCCAATCTGTTGCACTTTTTCCATCTGACCTGCAGAAAATTGTAAGGTGTATGGGCACCTTAAAGCTTCCTTGGCAAATTTTCGCCTCTAAACTGATGCTTGGAGAAGTGCTGACAGGTGTGAGGTGTACTTGTATCATGTTCCCTCTTCACTTACCATTTGCCACCTGTCACTGAATGCTCCTAGTAGCTGCAGAGGCTGTACAGTGGTCTGTGAGGAGCCACAGAAAAGTGTCAGACGGCATAGTTTTGTTGTCAGTTTTATTCTGTCAGTGTAATAAAAACAAGTCATTGTAACCTATAAAGTTTATTAAACCAATATGCAGTAAACTCCCAGTTACCCGGCACCCACAGAGATCGGTAAGTGCCAGATAACTGTGGTTTTTGGGTGTTGTTGAGTAAATAATAACTCTCACGCAACCGTCTCGTGCCTCGCAAAGAATTAAAGTGTAAATCTGCTATTCCAAATGGACTGGACTTGGAGCACCACATGCAAAGCTTAGTGTCCTGGAGTCATACTTCTACAGGCTTCTATAACACATCCAACACTTGTGGGGGGTAAAGCAAGTAATGCTTCAAACTGCTTTTTCTCTACTTCTTTTGCTGCCAGAGACCTTCTCGCACTTTTTGCATATGTTTGCAATCTTAAAATTGCATTGTTAGAATGCACATTTTAGGCTTTTGATTAAAACTGAGTAAGCCCCCTATATTTACACATTTCCTGAAAGCAGAGACCCTGTCAAAATGGTTGCAGTTGCAATTTTTTATGTCACGCAATATTAGCGCAACAGTTTATTGAATCTAAATTTTCTGCAAACAAATAAATCTTAGTGCACAGAAACACAATATAACATCCAATCTAGTAAAAGTATAAAAGATGAGGTTGTGCCGAGCAAATAGATACCAAATATGTCAAGCCTCAAAATTGTGTGCGCCCATGAAACAGTGACAAACTTCGGTAACGCAAACTGTCCATAGGCCATGCTTTAAATAATAAATAATGGTAGTAGAATTATTGCTCTCACTCTGGTATTTAACTATTAATATAAATGAATCTTAAAATGTACCTCAACTATTAACTGTGCCTTTTTTGTGCATCACTCGGCTCAAATCATCTTTGAATTTGTGCTGACACTGTCTTTCCTTCTGAAGGGTGGCTACTTTTGTTCCCCATGGTTCCTGTTTGTGTTGTAAAGTAGCCACTGGTCCAAGCTCTCTCCCGCGATGGACCACAATGTCAATACATATTAGTAAACTAAGTAAAGTGTAGTTCATCATGGGAGTAGGTTTGGAGGGGTGGCTACTTTACAACACACACAGGGACCATGGGGAACAAAAACAGCCACCCTCCAGGAGGAAAGACAAGGTAAAACTTAATTCGTTCCACGATTCTTGTTGCGAACTGGATCAAATTTTCCCATAAGGTGCAATGTAAATAAGGTTAATCCAGGAAGTGATGTAATCATCGTTGATTCAGTGTTCATTCGGGGAAGGATGTTAGCAAATGGACACTGGTCTCTCCCCCCCTCCAACACCTGCCATGCTGGTCCCGACTGCGTAAGAGGGGCAGTGGAGCCCAGGAAACATGGCAGGGGAGGGGCGCACATGATGGGGTAGAAGTAATCAGGCAGCCTGAATCACTATAGCAACCAGGAGAGTGATTACAGCTCCCTGCTGCCGCGGGCGTAGTAGTTATATCCGTGGCAGCGAAGGGGTTAGGAGAAAAAAACAACATTTTCTTTCCCCCACCACCTATAATTATTTCTGAGAGAAAAGCAGAGAATGAAAGCCAAAACATACACAATGCTCATTTCTGCAAAATGCTATTGTATGCTACTTACCAAGCTTACTCCATAGGGATCCATTCATTACCATCAATTGGCTACTCCTAGCAATTACTCGAGTATGAGTTTAATTGTAAGTAAAAATCCTAAAAATCCCTGTGTAGCTCTAGCCTAATCAGGTGTGGAAGAACTATAAAAGTAAATACAATCTACACAATTTCCACACCAAATTCCCGGCATAGTTTCTTTGAAAATTTTAGTGATAAAGCATTTATAGTTAGACGTGAATAATACTGCAGTTTTTAGGGTTATGGTACCTATTAAAACGTTAGTAGCATATGCGTCAAGTCACACAACATATGACATGGTAAAGCAGAATGATGTTTCTCCAAAACAATGCAAAACGTCAAACCTTTGAATTAAAACAGGATCTTTAAATATTGAACTAAGCCACATGCTAATACTGTGGCACTATGATCCAGCTACCAGCATTGTAACAGCTAAAGTGAATGAAAATGTTTTCAAACAAACATCTTTTACAAATGAACATTTAAAAAAAAATGTGCTGCAACACTTACGGGGTTATTCCGTAAAGGGTGAAGATTAGAGAAGGCATGGGAAGTGAACAATCTAGAACAACATAGCTGAACTGGAAAGTGAGCTGAATTGAAGAATTTTTTCCAAATCAGCTATTTTGGCCTAGATTGTTCACTTCACCTGCCGTCTCCAAATTATTCACCCTTTTGTGAATAACCCTATTAATTATAAATGCATCTGCACTTAAGTTTTCTCTTAGTCCCCCTGTAAAGAAACACAAATAACCTGTTGATCCTGCCAGTGAAGTCCACCAAATGCAGCTCCCAGTAATTGGGTGGCAATGATGCTGCCCAGCTCCTGAATTCAGAGCAGAGTTGTCATTTTCATGTAGGCGGTGCCTGCTTACATCGCAGTTCAATAAAATAATTGCAGGGGACATGGCTATTAGCACTGTCACTGCTGGTTCAAAAGCCTGTAGCTTGTCAATCAGCACCTGGCCACACCTAGTCTTGCTCACTGTCTTCTGGATTGACAACACTGCTTCTGTTGTTGAAACCCTCCCACTGTGAGCTGCAATGTCTGGAAGGGAGAGATTGTAAGACACAAATGGAGGATTTCGTTGAATCAATAAAGTAAATTAAGTTTTTTGTTTACTTTTTTAAGCATCAAAAAGTAGATCCCAAAGTAATTGGATTTGGGACTAGTTTAGACTTTCATACAGGAGCCTTTAGTTGTACTTTAAAACTGGTTTGTTTGACAATGTAAAATTTTGATATGAATCCTAAATAAGTCCTACATCAAAATATGAAGCAGTAGCATTAAAACTTAAACATTATTAAAAGGTTGAGACCATCCAACCTTTGCTAAAAGCAAATCTATGGTGTACCAAAATGTTCCTAACTAAGGCTACTGCTGCTTAAGAGGTGCCATAAAGGTGGTTGACCCTATCTGTAACATTACAGTAAAACGCTGAATGCTGCTGGAGCCTCCAAAAAATCCTTACTTTTTGGTATGGGAAGAATAAGCACACCCTCTCCTACATTCAACAATGCAGTGCTCAGTGACTGGTGGACCTATCGCCAAATGTAAGTATTATCATATGGGAGGTTTGTGGGTAGTGGGTGGAGGGGATGACTGCAAAAACAGTTGCTCTTCTTGATCACAAAGTACACAAGTTCTAGTCCTGGCTTCCCTAACTCTTTGCCAAATACTAGTTTTCTAAATAAATCAATCAGATTTTTTTCAATGCTTTGGAACATTTCTCTGTCACTTATCTCTTCAAAGTTCTTATTTCTACTATGTTTTTTAATCCATTTTCCCATTTAAAACAAGAGTTAAATAAAGCAGTTGTGTTGCTTATGAAAAATGCTTAGCACAAGGACAATTTTAGTTTCTATATCTGTAAAAAATAAGTCAAGGACACTGCACTTGCTGTATTTTTCTTGAAGACATTTCACTGGTCATCCAACCAGCTTTCTCAATTCAGAATGACTTGTACAAGCCATTCTGAATTGAAAAAACTGGTTGGATGACCAGTGAAACGTCTTTAAGAAAAATACAGCAAGTCCTGTTGCCTTGACTTATTTTTACAGCTATACCATGACCTGGATGAATGAGAACCTTCACAGACAATTTTAGTTTCTGAACTGAAGCCTTCACCCTCTCCAAGTGGTAAGCTACCATTGGCTTCACCCACCGCTTAGAATCTAGTGAACAAATCATACAGATGCACTCACCTGCATGTTTTCTCGTAGATCTGTAGCTTCCCTTATTGGCTGAATTGCATTCTTGAAAACTTCATCAATAGACTTTATAAGCAAGGTCCTCATAGAAGCATAATCCCTTGATTTTTTAGCCTTTCTAACAGAGAGACCACGCTTATGAGGCTTTCCTCCACCTCTACGGTTTGTAATTGCCACATGGACAAATAATGTTGTATGCGGCAAAATATCTCCAGTCAAAGATTGTAGAGGAACATGCCTATAGCCAGGCTGGAGGCATTCAAATGGGATAGTGTACTGTCCAATAAACTCATCTCCAATATAATCGTCATCTAGCACCACAAATCGCACCATTGTTAGTTCTGGAAGGTTAACTTGAAATTCAAAGCTTTCATCAAATATTGGATTGTCTCCATTTTGATGGATTGTTTTTGTCCTCTGCTCAGCACAATCGGCAGGTATTCCATGAATCTCAACATAGACATAAGGATCCACAACATCTCCTTTGGCTCCTGACCCTTTGGGCTTTGGAAAATTTTGCCCACTGATAATTTTGATGTGAAGCAGTTGGGGAGAAACTCCAGGCACAGAATCTTTAGTGTTAGCACTAAAGAAAGATACTTCCTCGCGCATAATGGCAGGTCGTAGAACATATCCGCAATTTCCGTTTTGACGGAACCAGCCAATGTTTAAATCCATCATAAGTCCAGGAGTCTGGAAATTCATTGCAACTATTTGGCAACCACATTTCCAAAAATCTTGAGGGTTCATGTTGCTGGAGTCTATCCTCATCGGGCTTGGGAAGATACGAGAAAGAAACTTTTTGTTGTAGTTAACAAAATCACCAGGGTTTTCATTTGTATATTTGCCAGCTGCTACTTCATTGTAGGAGCAGACTTCCCAGTACCTCTGGTTTTGGAAAGATGATTGAAAATCCATGAACTGTACAGATTTACAAAGGCTTACAAGGTCTGAAAGTTCTTTGCAAAGTTGAATTCGTTTGACGGGGACAATGGTTTGTTGATCTTCCACTTCTTTTCCCATCCTCTGAGACATCTCCACACCCTCATCCTCATCTGTAACATCCCCCTCAAACCCTGAGCAATCTTGGGGAAGTTTTTTGCCCTTAATTAGTAATTTTCCTTTTAAATGCTCTGGAGATGGAAGATAGGAATCTTCAGCATTAGGAGGAGTGGTGTAAAGTTTATCTCCCAAAATTTTCTTCATATGTTGAACCATAACTTTCTGTTGCTTGACTGAACAATGGTTTTCTAAACAAAGAATTAACGGGAACTCTGATGCATGGAAGACATATTTATTAATTATGTCAATCACACTGCGGAAGACAATCTGTGTTGTCATGGTATGTCCGGTATAGATGACAGGCTCATTATCTGGACCATCCCAAACATCCAATTCAACACTTCTGCATCCCATTTTGAGAGCACGAATATAACCAGTAATATCAGATGGACCTCTAAACTGATCTTCTATTAGGTAAGTATTATGTGATGAATTTATATAGTAATGGGACAAAGGCTGAGTCATGTCTTGGCACACTCTTTTGTGTTCTGGTTCAAAAATACTACAGTCTGCAGACATGAGGTAATTTGTAAATCCGTCCAAAGAAAGGCATCCTTTCTCCCGGCCTTTAGATGGTTCATATTTTTTTATAATGTCAAGACTAATTTCCTCTGTTACCTGTGCCACACCTTGCTCAGCCTCCAAAAACATCATGAGATCCTTGCTGTCCAAGTACTCCTTATTGCTTGAAAACTGAACCAGTAAAAAGTAGATCTCCGGTCGTGTACACAGTTCATGGAAAGCTTCAATAAATTCATCTTGTGTCACATCACTGTTTGCTTTTTCCTTGGATTTCTGTAATTCCTTAAACTTCAACTCAATCTTAATGTTTTTAAGACCTGGGTTTAACTTTTTAATAAATTGCACCGCTTTACAAATCGGTACATGTCCCACATTCTCCTCATCAATTTCCCTGAACAGTTGAGTAAGCCAAGACATTCGCATGCTGTCCTGAAAACTTTCAATCATGTCAAGTGTATGCTTTCCATAAGAAATTAAATAACGTAAACCTGTAACCCAAATATTGGCAATGTCAGCAGAGTTTGCAACAAGATCTAAGGACTCGTAATTTTCCCCGTATATTATAGAGAAAGCACAGTCTTCTGAAATCTGGTCAGAAATTCCATTGCTACGAAAAATATCGGTATTTTTTCCAGTTCTGACTTCTTTTACTGACCTAATGTCAATTTTTGCTTTTTCAGAGTCTTTCTTTGAAGGCTCCCACCTCAAGGACTGCATGTCTGCATCCAAAAGGAAGTACCTGTGGTAGATTCTAGAGTTGGACCTGACTTTTTTCAATTCAGATCCTTCAACCATGGCATTGATGCAGTCACTGGCGCTGCTGATCTTCTTCTCGGCTGGCATGCTACTAAATGACACTGTCTTCTTTCTTTCTCGTTTCTGCTTTGTGCCATCCTATGAATAAAACATATACATATTAATTTCAGATACTTTTGGGTCTACCTTTAAGAACAGTCCAGATGCCTAATTGAATTCCGTCTATACAAAAACATCAATTATTAATTATTTCTGAAAGTGCAACGCTAATGCTGTTATCCTGATCCTTTATTCTACTTTATAAGTTACTGACCGAGAACAATCTGCACTTATCCGGTATCCTTACAGTGCACTGGGATATGGTTATTCCCGGTCAGTGACAACCAAAGGTATGGAGGGCTGCATCAGAGCAAGCAGAGCAATGGCAGCTCCCATATTTCCATCCTGGTAGGTTCCCTTTAGAGCCCAGTTTCACCTAACAAATGAATACACCATTGAAGTTATGCTGCCTCAAACAGTTTACTGCCGATTTTCATTTCAAAGACCAGCAGAAAACTCCTATGCTTGTCTGGAGGATGCATCTAAAGACTTTTGCGCTTTGTGTAAGTGCAGTGGTCTCTGTATACTGGTCCTACATGTCCCCCCCATTGAGTCACCACTACAGGTGCAATTAGCAAAGCTCATGTTCCCTGCTGTGTGCAAAGATGCGGTGCAGACTAAGTGAAGAGCGGTCTTTAGCTGAAGCCTCCAGAAAGACAGTATAGTTTTCTTCTGGGGCAGCTTTAAAATGAAAATGATCAGTCAGCTATTCACTACTTAAGCTGGCCATACCCTGCTCAAAATTCAAGCAATGTGTGGACCCCGTTGTTGCCCTCTGTTCAACTTTTGTTGAAGGGGCTGGTCTGAAAATTCTCAGCTGAACAGTGACTGCAGCCAAATCAGTACACCTACTACTGTCAGAATACAGTAGCCCAGCGGTGAAATTCCTCCAACTACCCTGTTTAGAGTGGATGGAGGAATCAAGCGTATGGCCAGCACTTGCTGTTTTGAGGCAGCCTAACTTTACTCTATTTTTAACTACAATTATCAATTAAATGCATGTAGCATAACTTTGCCAATATATTAGAACATTGCCATTTTTTGCCAATTTTGCCCAACAAAAGAGTGTTTAAATCACATATGCATTGCATATATACACGTCAACCTGCATAACAGATTTTCAATCATATACCTAAACTCACTAAAATGGAGCAAATGAACAATTCAAAACTGTTCTGTATTTAATATATATATATATTAACCTAAAGCAGGGGTGCCCACAAGGTCGATCGCGATCTACCAGTCGATCGTGTAGCGATCACTGGTAGATCGCCATGTCATCTCCTCCCGCCGCTTCTCTGGATCCCCGCTGCTCTCCCCAGCGGGGATCCGAGAAGAAGTGAAGGAACCGGCGGCGGGGGAGGGCGGAGGACGGAGCCGCTGTCACTAACTAATGCAGAACCCTGACCTAAAGGAAATTTTGTATCAACTACATTAAGCAACAAAGTGAAATGTAGATATAGCGAGAGAAATAAAACATGTGCCACTGGATTCAAACAAACAAATTAATCAATGTAGCTATATAAAAATAAAGATATATAAAAGGACAGAGTGATCACTGGGTATCAGTACACCCAGAAAAATCAATACTTTTTATTATTTTTCAAATTCATTTAGCAACATCATTATAGAACATTTTACAAAATACACAAAACTAAAATACTTAAATATTTCTGCTTGCATACTATAAACTACTATATCACATGGATCCACTGTAACCATTCTTGGAATAGCAAATGCCAAATTTTGCATGCAGACTACTGTGTTTTGTCTAATGTCACCTATGTATTACTTCAAAAGAACAATATCGGTTACCCCCCAAATAAATAGTGACAATGAACTACATGAATTATAATATCTTATATGCTTAGGAGGTTTACCGACTGTGGCTTTATACTGGTTAATTGTTTTTATATGCACTTACAAATTCATTTTTATATGCACTTACAAATTCTGAAAAGTATTTTAGGAGTGAATATGAAAAATAAAATCATTGATTGACTATTGCTCAGAAATATGGTTTACTAGTCTATTTGATCTAGTTTATTTGAAATATAGGTCTCTAGCCCAGAACTTTGTAACGTGCTATATAAACTACATTTTTAATATAAAAATAGTCTGCATCAAACTAATAAAATATAGCAGAAACCAAATGTGTTTAAGCTGAGGTGGCTCTTCTAAATCTGGCCACAGACATTAAGGAGACCACATCCACAATAAAGTTCATCAACTCTGTCAACCGACAGTATGTATGGCATGTAATATTTCAGGATTCTTTTTTTAAAAAAAGTACTTGGAAGCTGCAGCTGTCGGTCTAGTCAGGAGCCAGGAGATTTAGTATTAACATATTGTGCTGTGACCAGGCTCATCGGCTAGTTTTGTGCCAACAAGAAAGTTAAGACAGGACAAGGACAAAAGAGAGAACACTGGAAAAATGTTTGTTACAAATGTAAACAAGTCAAATTAAAGATAGCGATACACATGTAAGCTGTATCATACAAAATAATGCATGGTACCATTTAGAGCTGCAACAGTTAAATCGATTTAGTCGATTAAAATCGACGATTGAAAACGTTGGCAACGTTTTCGATCGTCGATTCGTCGGCTATCAAACTATATTGCACACCACACGTTTTTTTTTACTTCCACCGCGCCAAGATTGCTCCCGTGATGGACTACAATCTTAACACAAACTAGTCGTCAATCACTGGAGCCTTTTTTTTTATATCCGATTAACCGATTAATCGAACTTAATAATCGGCCAACTAATCGATTATGAAAATAATCGTTAGCTGCAGCCCTAGTACCATTAAAAGCCAGATGCTATAGCCAGCTAGCCAAAATAAACTAGAACAAGTGCCTAACTTTCTGGTTCATTTCTTCTGATGTCAGTTGAAGTAAACATCCCTTAGTGGATGTAAACCTTAACTATATGGCATTTAGTTTGGTAAAGTACTATTGGCTATTTCAAATTGCAAAAGCCAACAGCAGGATGGCTATTGAAACCCCGCCCACTGAGCAGAGAAGTCCACTCAAGTCCGCTCCTCTGCTCAGTGGGCGGGTTTAAATACCAGCCTGCTATTGCAATTTGAAATAGCCAGCAGCAGTCTGGCTAATGAAAATCCGCCCACTGAGCACAGGAGAGGACCTGAGAGAGAAAGATAAATAATATAAAAAGGATAAATAATATATTAAGAATTTTCAAACTAAGAAAGGAAATATTGCATAGAAAATAACACACGAAGAGAAAAATTAGTCTGATGAAAAATGTTTTAGTCTACAAAAAAATGTCCTTGAAAATATCATGTGAATCTAGCAGAGAAAGTTGTACATTTTCTTTACATTGAAACATAATGGCACTGGCATATGTGTGAAATCTCATTGATGCTGACCATGACATTTTACTTTAAATTCATCTCTGGTCATGGTGAGAATTTAGGGATCATAATTGCTGCTACACCAAACCTATGTTAACTTGAAACATTCTACAGTGCTGCTAGACATGCACACAAGAGCCCTAAAATTGGTGCATTGTATTGGGCATATTTTGCACATTTAGGTAACAGGCTTAACACATCACGATAGGAGACAAGCCATAAAAGAGATTTTCTTGCAATTTGTCTGGAATCTGTATGATGTGGCATTCTTACATGCACCTTCATGCAGCAAAGTATACTTATAACAATGAGATGTGCATGTCTTGTCCTGATAAGCTACATACTTCCAACATTACACAAGTGGGAGATGGTGAGCAGTTTGATGCTACTTTTAGAGCTCAGTTTGGCACATTCATTAGAAACTAAAGACACCTATAAGCCATGACCGCTTTACATGGCAATGTCATTGATCAGGAGACTTTAAGAAGGGCGCATGGCATAGGCCAAGTTTTTTAAATATGACTGGACACTGGTCTAAGTGTGTAGCTGCCAAAATATGCTCAACAGAAATATGTTCTATCCAAGTTATGACAAAGAAAAATGTTGTGAGCGGCAAAACTATGCACAATGAATTGCAGACTCTGAAAAGTATTTTCTGATGTAGTTTATCATATAAATAATAACAGCAATTATTTAAAAAAAAAAACAACAACAACTTTGACACAGAAGAAGACATTAGCCTAAAAACTTTGTGCACTGAGCCTCACATGCAGCATTGTCTGTGTTGTGATCTACAGCATATTTCATGTATTCTATTATATGGACAAGCGTATGTGGATAGGCCTGAAAATGACTGAGTTAAGGTGTTTTCAGTGGAGGGTACTATCAATGCTACATCATACAGTACAAGGGCAGTGCCACATCATACAAATACATTTTGGACAATTGTGATCTTCTAACCTTGTGGCAACAGTTTGGGGGAGGCCCTATTCTGTGCAAGCATGACTGTACCCTGTGAACAAGCCAGCTTCATAAAGACATGGTTTCATGAGTTTGGTGTGAAGGAACTCAGGGGGCCTACACAGAGCCAGGACCTCATCCCTATGGAACAAATTTGGGATGAATTGGTACATGGCAAGTCAGGTCTGTCCAACATCAATAACTGACATGTTCTTGTGGCTGAATCTTTTGTGGAAAGACTTCCCAGAAGAGTGGAGGTTGTTATAGTCAACAAAGAGGGGTCAAATCCGTATTAACAGACCTCCCAACTATCCCTTATTTGGAACCAAATCCCTCTGTCCCTCTTTCCTCCTTAGCTGCCCCTCTTTTTAGTCTAATGTACACATATCTATGAAAAGGTACTATCCCAGAAGTACATTAGTAAATGTACTCCTGTGACCCCCCAAAAAAAGCACAAAAAAAAGGTTAACTTTTTTTCCTCTTTTAACTGTCAAAAGTGTTATTGTGCACTAAAACCTCTATCTTAGCTCCTAATTATTGTGATTGCCATTTTGAAAAGCCGGTGTAACTGAAAAATAATGGGGAAAAAATAACTCTTGGTTTACCCAATCATTTGTGGCAGATCAATCCCTAAGGGCCCACATAACTGGGCGCATAACAGGGGCGAGTCCACTGCCAAATGTTTGGTCATATAGTGTAAAT